ATATGTGACACACGCTGGGATAAATTATTCCATTAAAACTGAGAAAAGGACACAAGTTCGTAGACTATTGCAATTTTGTAGGAAATGATTGCAAGATGATCCGAAACTAGCCCTAGTGGCTTTAAGAAAATCATCATGGGGTCACCGGGAAGAGAAAGAGACTTCTCTGAGAATGCAATCAGATTATTTTGGAGAATGTGGTGTTCAGTTCAGAACCAATTTTACTAAACAGAGAACTGAATGTATTTGGTGTAAGTGCAAAGTCATACACACAAAAACTGTAGCAATGTTGCAGGCAACTCACCCACATACCCTAGCATGCACCATTCTGGAGCACAATAGCCCAGTGGCTTCCAGCTGCAAAACACTTGCAGCTCTTTGCTTGAGGACTTTCTTTCAACCACAGAGCTTACACAGTCAGTAGGAAATGTCGGACAAAGTACTTTGAAGTTAATTATAATCCTTACCTTCTTACCCTCCTAACAGCCCTTTACCTAAGATGGATAGAAATTGATGGATCCATATTTCCATTCCTTGGCTTTCAGGTGTAATAATTCTGAAGCATGCTCTGTGCTATCTCCTAGAATTCTCAAGAAGTATTCCTCATAGCAGTAACCTATTATGTAATCAATGTTAATTGGCTTTTTAAATTTCCCTAACTCATTTCCTCACTCTCCATTTAGTGCTCCCCACCATCACTTCTCTGAAGAGCATTCTGATATTGAGAAAGCTTATTGGATAATGGAAGTAAAAGTCAATCATCAGGGCCCTCTGAAAATGATACAAAATAACAGAGTGCTTATTAGAGATTCTGGAATGGGCTAAGCAGCCAGAAATCACACACTTATGCCTAAGTTCCTTGAAATCAGATCCCCAAAAATAGGGGAACAGTGAGAATGGATGTGCAAAGTAGGCAAAGAATAAATGATTTCTAAATCAATGCTCCACAGGTTTATCTGTCCATGTCAAGGAGAATTACATTCCAGACAACTTGAATGTGAGCATAAGAATTATGCTGGTGGTTTTGGCATTTTTTAGAAAGCACAACGTGACACTAGAAGAATGAAGGAAGCACGTTTTGCCCTGATTCCAATTGTAATACTCAAAGGGTGCATTAAATTCTATAGTGATGAGCTTGAAATCAAAGTAAGAGTTGTTTTTTTAAAACGCATACTTTGTGGCCACTTTTTAAGACAAGCGGTATACAAATTAAACTATTCTCTTTTCCAATAGATTCACTGACAAATTAGGAGAAAATCATTTTGTATCCTGATTAGTTGCAAGGCAACTAACTGAGTTTCCTATGATTTTCTGGTAGATAAGATGGAAAATCCCCACTCGAAGATTATTAACAACTTGGCATGTAGTATCCTAGCCAGTGGATATGTGTTATGCCTATCAAACTTGGCACTACTAGCATTTGGGTAGAACGGTTGTCTGCTGGGGTGACGGGAAGGCTGTCCTGTGCACTCTTGGTTGTTAACTAGCATCACTGATCTCTACCTTGCCGACACCAACAGGTCTCTACCCCCCAAACGTGACAACCAAAACTGCATCCTGACATTATCAAATGTCTCCTGAACAAAAGTGCCCCTGGCTGAAAAGCACTGTTTGCAGGGAGATCTTTTTGAGGCATCCCTCAGAACTCTTTTCTAATGAACTTATTTTCATGTAAATGTATACAATTTGCCAATGATGAATATTAGGACATCATATGAGAAAATAAAGACATAAATTTATCTCAACTGATCAGTCTTCAAATTCAATACAATGAAATTTCTCATGATTAAATGTAAAATACTACATTCAAGTAATAAGTGTTCTACGTGCAAGTTAAAGGAGACTTCATGTGGAAAAATCTGATAATTTTAGTTGATCACAAATTGAATGTAATTCACACAAGTTATAGATGCTTTTGAAAAATCATGAAACCTAGGCCTGGTGTGGTGGCTCACGCCTGTAATCCCAGCATTTTGGGAGGCTGAGGCAGGCTGATCAAAAGGTGAAGAGATTGAGACCATCCTGCCCAACATGGTGAAACCCTGTCTCTACTAAAAAATACAAAAATTAGCTGGGCGTGGTGGTGCATGCCTGTAGTCCCAGATACTCAGGAGGCTGAGGCAGGAGAATTGCTTGAACCCAGGAGGTGGAGGTTGCAGAAGGCCAGCACTGCCCAAGTCCCCCCAACCCGGGACCAGGGAAAAAAAGGGACCTTATATCAAAAAAAAAAAAAAAAAAAAAAGAAAATCATAAAACTTTAAGTGTCATTATCAGGGAGAAAAAGTTCAAATCAAGGAGGGTGAAAATCTATTATATTTTGGCTCATCGCCAAATGCTATGGTTGTTTGGTGCCAGATTTTGTGAACAGAGGTTCAGGAAAAGGTTACTGAGATTATGAGGAGCTTAGAATCTATACAATTTGAGTAATGCCCATGATAAACCAGAATATTAAGACTAGAGAAAATCCAGGCAGTGTTTGGGGAAGAGCGATGGTATTGGAAAGGCTGTCATGTGGAAAAAGAGGGTATATTCTATTTTGCACAAAGAGAATTAGAATCAATAAGTGGAAATTACAGAAAGCTAGATATAAGGAACCAAAATTATCCTATCATGAAATTGACTGCCTTGCAAAGGAGCTACATTTCCTTTAGCCAGGGCTGTACAATGCTTTGCCTAGGACACTGTAAAAGTGTCTTCTTTGTTGGGAGAAATATTAACATAACGCCCTAAAATAGTCTTAATTTTAAATCTACAAATTTATGATAATTCTGCTTTCTTAGTAGCTACCTAGCACACTGTAATTTTACCCTATTAAACAGGTGAACTTTAATGTTTATCTTAGTAAAATATTGAACTTTATGCAAAGCATGTAAGTGCGTTATGTTTTTTATTCCTCACAATCTCATAGGTTGTCTCCTTATCGTTCTTTCTCTAAGGCTGAAGAGACTTAGAATAATCGAATGATTGTGCAAAGTCCCACAGCTAGTAATTTTCAAATCTAGTATTTAGACCCACCTTGCTCTACGTTTTGTGCTTGTGACAGATCATTACTAGGATTATTTTATTTAACTGAAAGTACACTGTTTTATAAGTATTTGAAATATCACAGACCAGAAGCATTCAGTACTTGTTTTATGGATTGCTATTTTTACTGAATGAATCTGATAGTCCTATATTCTATTTTTTCAAAAAGTTATTTTTCTCCTTTTTATTTAAAGGTAACTGCATATTTAGAGATCAGTAAGGTATTTTTCATAGCCTAGTTGCCACTCTCAAATACTGATGACCTCTATATGCTTAAAGATGGATGGTTTGTTGGTTAAGACCTTGCTAGCATGTTATATATTCACTATCTTAAAGGTCCTAAATCAAAGATTCCAATCCTTGGAGAAGTTTTCCCTTAAATGGATTTTAAGTTGTTCAGAAGAGTGGAGATACATGGGTTGAATGGGGATGATTTTTATACACTCGTCCTCAACAAATGTTTGAAGATTGAACTTGTAAAAAATGAAGTAAGATTAATTTTAATAAAGGTTGTATAACTGGACATTTAGTTACAGAGAAGGATACTGTAATGGTTAAAGTTAGTTCATGCCATCTCCTTGATGTTTTTTGTTTTGTTTTGTTTTTGGAGATGGAGTCTCACTCTGTCACTCAGTCTGGAGTGCAGTGGCACAAACTTGGCTTACTGCAACCTCCACTTCCCAGGCTCAGGCAATTCTCCTGCCTCAGCCTCCTGAGTAGCTGAGACTATAGATGCTCACCACCACTCCCAGCTGATTTTTTTATTTCTTGATGCCTTCTTAATACTCATTGAACCACTCATCTTTAGTATTATTTCTAACAAAGTTTTGTTAATACCCAATGTCTTTTTTAGTGATTCTCAATCTTTTGGGGAATTTTGAAGCCCTTTGAGGCTTTGATGAACCTAATGAACACTTTTACCAGGAAAATGCTCGTTTACATATCTGCCAAATTATTATATAAATATATATTATTATATTAAATATTTAATACTTAAAATATTTATATGTAATAGCAATTATTTATTTATATATTTATATGTATCCATTATATATACTTATATATTAAAGTTAGCAACCCCTGATGCCTAATCATTGAGCCCTGGGCATCTATGCCCTCTAAAGGTTAAGACCCAAAATCCTTGGTCTGATTACTAATAATAGGTTTTACACAGCAACCAGCTTTGAAGTGCCAACATATTTTTAAGGGAAATTAAATTATATATCCTTTAATTTAGACATTAAGAAAATGTGGACTGTTTCTTCAGTTACATTTTAAAAATCATGAATAGTAATAAAGAAATAGCACATATATCTAGACACTACAAGTACAAAATGAATTAAGCATTCATGTTCAGACCGTTTACTGTTGAAGTAAGAAAGACCAAACTTGTGCATGTTTATCAGAAAATCATTTTCAAGCACCAGGGTTTTAAAACAGTTATTAACTGTTGAACTAGGACTTCCTCTGATGAATCATCTTATTCCTAAAAAGCTAATTTGCTTTGTGAGAAATAGTTACATGGAAACAAATAGTACAATATGTTCTTATACTTTTTTTTTTTTTTCAAATAACACAATGTGAGAGTCAAAGATGCTAGGCAAATTGTAATTAGCATGTGATACTTTTGGAATTTAATCACAGGTTTACTTAACTTGAATTCCATTTTTTTAATAGAGAAAAAGCATATTTATGAAATTAGTATTTTTATGTTGTTTTCAACTAACACTGTGTGAGTTTATGGTTTCTGGCATATCACAATGGACAAATGTAAACCAAGGTACATTTAGTGGCTATACCTTTAAGTGTATGAATATCGAGGTGCTTAATGACTAATACAATCCAGAAAAAAAGAGAGTCAACATTCTTCCTCTAGTGTATAAAAATTCATCTTCCCTTTCAATGCAGCTTTCTTTACTGTCCCATTAATCAAGAAATGGCGCCACATATAATTTTTAAAATCAATAAATCCACAGTTGTATTAAGAAATATTTTATTAACAAAACAGTAAATTCCACTTGCTTAGCATTTCCAATAATGGATAAATTGGCCTTGCAACAGAAAAACAAACAAATTAAAAAAAAAAAGAAAACCCCTTAGATACCCAATCACACAAAGCACTAGAAGGGTAGGGTTATGTGGCCTTTCTTTGATGTCTTAGGGATTGACCACTTCACACATTATTGTAGTATTTTGTTGTTTTAAAAAAGGCAACACATTACATGGATAAAAAAGAAGCATACTCAATCAGAAAAGTTACAGTCTAGAGATGTAATCAAATTTATGCCAAGTAGTGTGAAATCCTCAATCAACTGCAAACTATGCATGGAACCCTGATATGTTTGGTATGAAGATACTTGGGATTCAAGTTATTTTCTCCTAACTCTGTTCCTCTCTTTACTTTTCCCATCCAGGAAAAAATAATTTTAGCTAGAGTTTGTGTAAGCCATTAGAAATATTTTTACTGATAATATTAAATTATATTATTGCATGTAACTTTAAAATTTATTCTGGGAAGAAACATTCAAATCAATCCCAAACAACACATTTCATAGATATACTGCTTTAAATTACCATTATTCAGTTTATTTTCTGTTATATTTCAGAATCTTTCCAGATGGAAACTGGTTCAAGCTTAATAGATAAAATAGAAAAGCAACCTTAAAAAGGAAAAAAAAAAAAAAAAAAACAAAAAAAAAAAAAACAAACCTTCAAGCTGTAAATTAGTAGTTGTACACTTCCCTTCTGATTTTACTGGCTTTCCCTGAGTAAGACTGAATGAGACGGGGGATGAAAAAAAGACTTGTGAATTATTATACCTGGCAAATTAAAAATAATGAAAATCTAAAAAAGGAGTAATGGATATTAAATTTGCATTTTATACCTTCTACTTTCTGGGTTATAAAAAATCTTTGTGATTCTGTGTATACAACAGTGACTTGGCAACCATAGATAGTGGTAATTTGCTATGAATTTTACGTATTTCTAAGGTGCTTTATGTCTGAAATCCAGGCCACTTCTTGGCTTTTTTCATCAACTAAAGTATCACAAAAGATGTTTTGCATTTTTTGCCTTGCTGATTAAAGCTAATTGTAAAGTTCTTCTTCTCTTCTACAAAATCTATTATCGTTCTTTTAGAAGGTATTCAAGTAATGCAACCAACTTTTACTGAAGCATCACCTTGCAATCTAATAATGCTTTTCTTTTGCACTACCTTCTCATATTAATAATTTATTGCTGTGAACGTCATTGAATAATATGCAAAAACAAGTGATAATCTATACTTTTCTACTACTTAATGTGTTAAAGCTATATTTAATAATATATGTGTAAAACCAGAAAAGTTAAAACATAGTCAATAAGAGAGAATAATTTTTTAAATGGGTAGTAATACAGAATCAAAAATTACTGAAAAATACTTTTAGTTGAGAAAGTGTTTACTTTCCAAAAATGTTCATCATGCACATCAGATTCAGAGAATATATATATGATTTTATTCGAAAGAAAGTTTTCAATTGCAGCAGCCAGAGTTAAGGTGTAGATTAACCAATTTTGCTTCCATAACCTGCCCACACAATGGTTCTTATTCATGCAGCAGTATATCAGTGATATTTCTATTTGATAAGGAAAGGTTCATTTTATTAGGGACTGAAATCTTCTTGGGGTTTCCTGGGAGCAAGATCTCAATGAAGCAAATCACCCTATTTATCATCAATTCCTTGGCACAACCCTCTGCCTTCCTGTTTTTCAATTCGTCAGTAAATGTTTGCTACTGTATGCATGTTTGGATCTTCTAGCATACCTGATGGATTGCTGTGGATGAGTGTGTGAGTGTGTGTGTGTGTGTGCGCGCACGCGTATGTCAAAATAGTGAATGTAGGTGGGAATGTGAGTATTTCAGGGAGAAAAGATTATAAGATACATATGTATATATTTGACTTTCTAATTCACACCTTTCATACAAGTACTAAAACTTAATTGCAACAGAATGAAGGCTGTACATATAAGAAAAAAAGTAGCTGAGTCTTTTTATATACATTCATACATATCTTCCTTAGAATAAACACTACACTGTAATTTCTTTAAAAAATAAAATTAAGTAATTGTGGCAATTTATAATGGTGGCAAAAACAAAAACCCAACCGAAATAATTGTTGCTCTGATGTCATAAAACTCCCTATACTTAGCAACACTTATAACATTGAATTTAGCAAAAATGGCTGAAGAGCAGAGATATATTTTGCATTTTCTATACAACAGGCTATAAAACGTCACTTATCACAGTCCAGAAAGCACACAGAGATGGATTTTATATAAACATATGTAATAACATAATAAGCGTGCATGAAAATTTCCCAATGATTGCATCTATGCCCTCTTGTTTTTGTTTTGAAATTTTAGTGTGAAAATGTGCCTTATATTTCACATTTTTGAAAATAAGGCCTCCATACTTTTTTTTTTTCCTCTCTCACAACCAGAAAGGGGCTTTTTGAATGTGTTCCTACACAAGTCTTCAAAAAAGCCAGCACTTTGTTTCAAATGCAAGTTCCAACCACTGCTCCAGTTGCACCAGGCGGCAAACGCTTAAAGGTTTGCAGGTTGAGTCACTCAAAAGGACAGTCTTCTCTGGCAATTGGACTAACTGACATCTCAGGAAAGCGCTAGCACTTTGGCTAAATCCAGGATCATAGGTAGCTTCTTTTTTGTGTTATGTTTTGTGTTGGTTTTTGTGTTGTGCCTTGATGCTGTAATACTCCTTTGCTTTATGAATGCGTGCGGTCATCACTGTCTTTTAGAAATGTTCCAGCAACATAAAGACAGGCAGAGTAAATGAAAACACTGTGGATGTTAGGGAATTTATTGGCCCCTGTTTTTTGTTTTTCTTTTTTGAGAAACAAGAGCATGAGATACTTGTTTTTATTTTTATTTTTTTAAGTCTTTCCTTCCTGATTGCATTCCCTGTCTTCTTTTGTATGTGCTTCATAAAAAGGAAAGTAAATAAGTTTATATTATGTCTCAGATAAAATGAAGACTATTTCTATACAAGTGTCCATTTAAGATCTTGGGATCAGACATAATACTCTTTATCCTTGTTTTTCTTATTTTTGTTGGCGCTTTTCGCACTGCTGGGTTGTTTCTCCTTTACGACAGCCCCATTGGACTGTGCTGAGTTACTGATGTAGTTTCGACTCTCGTCCACATGGTATGAGCCTTCATCCCGGTTTCTGTACTTGTACATGGCGTAGAGGAGGATAAGGATGCACAGGGCGGCAGCAGCTACTATCCCCACGACCATACCCGTGGTGCTGCTGGACTCCCGGATCACTTCTGCTGAGCCTGGGTACGGCTCTCTCCCGCCTGCTCGGGTTGGGTTGGCTGTAGAAAAGAGGATGAGAACAAACACAAAGTGACCATTGAGTTCACTGCACCCCAGAGAGCTATATTAACATTCATTATTTATTTCCGTGCCTAATGTTAAGCACCTATGCTTTAGGAAAAGTATCCTGTTACTAAATGTAGCTATCCCTTTGCCTCACGGTTACTAAAAACTAGGGACTGTGATTCAAAGTTCTCTGGGAGAGGTTCCTTGCTACGTCTTATTTTTTCACCAATTTTATTTACAGAGTTTTGTAAGCATTGCTCCAAATCAACTCCAGTTAGCTCTAAAGGGCCATGCTGGTGGGTTAAGTAAAAAACCACAAACCCAACATAAAGAAAATCAGAACAGCACTACGCTATAATACTAGAGGGAATCATAAGCATCAAATTGGTGTTGCTCTAGAACATAGGTCTAACTCTAAACTGAATCAGGACAACTAAATTTAGGATTACTTTAGAAATCATATTGCCTTGTATTGTAAAGAATACAGTATTGAACAGTGAGCCAATCCACACATTGTAACTGTCTTTTTAAAGTGTAACTTTAAATTACATTTTTATAAACAAAAATAGACTAATTTCCATTTTGTTGGAGATTTGTTTACATAAGTATGGGTGTATTTTATTAATTCATTGGGGATCTCCCAAGCTAAACTTTGGAGGAGAAACTAATATTCTTTCTCAGTTTTAAATAATACAGTCTAGATTGATTTTTGAGTCAAAACTCAGAATTACTTAATAGATGATAATAGAAGCCTGGCTAGTCTAGTTGTATTCAACTGACAAAACCCTTCTTGTGTCTCCCCAAGTACAGATAAGGCTCTTTCTTGGTGAGAGCAATGGATTTGGGGGTGCCTATGTCTTCTTGAAGGCTTGGTTAGACACTGAAATTGACCATCGATGGGGAAGAATAGACCTGAGATTTAACTGGTAGATATGGGGAGGAGAAGGGGCAGCTCATTTCCTCTAAACTTTTTTTGTCGTTGTTATATATAAAAGGATAGAAACTATATATAGAGAAGAATATTCTATTCTACTCTGACTGTATGTCATGTTCTTGTGAATTGTGTTTTCCGTTTTTCCCTGAAACAACATCTTCTCACTTGTCCTACATAAAATTATTACTTTTCAGATGTATGAAAAATGCTACAACTTTCAAAACACTACTTTTTGCCAATTATGCATAACGAACAAGAATCTCAAGATTGCATATATAGCAGATAAAGATGTGTGTGTACAAGTGTGTGTTCATGTTTATGTAGGAATTGAAAACTCGAGAAGACTAAAATTGTGCTTTTATTTCGCTCCTACTAAATATCACTTCATAATTAATTTTAATATTCCTGCAAAAGTTTTTGTTAATTACTAGAAACCTTTTAACCAAACATATGGCTCTATACTGCTTTGTAATTCCATTTTCAAAAATCATCAAGATTTCTTTTGCCTAAATGTTTTTTTTTTTTTTTTNTTTTTTTTTTTTTTTTTTTCTGTGATTTTTCCTTTCCTTCCCCAAATAAAGCCTTACAAATACAGCCATTTCCAAAGCGGTAGCTCTCAGTCTCAAGGTAGCAAGATGCTGTGTTCTGGCACTACAAAATGTAGCAGGTGAAAATTTTTATGCAGAATATGTCATTGCTTGTTTTACAAAAGCCCATGTAGTGTGGCTGAATAAAAAGCCTTGGAGTTGCTTCTGTGCCCAAGGTGCAAGGAGACAAAGACTATAATCCACTGTATTTGATTACAAGAAATTAATTTCCTCTCATGAAGAATAGAATCTACCTCGGTAACTTGTCACTGTCTGACAGACCAAAGGCAGCACTTTCTCTTTTAAATACAGTCATCTTTGCCAAAGTGTGCCAATTAGCTCAGCTGCTTTCACTACATGAAAACTTTCATTTTATGGAGCATTCTTTTACTATGGTGTCTTGAGAGCTCACAAGGAGATTTTATTTAAATGTCACCTAAATCATTTCTTTCCATCCTGATGAAATGCTTTCACTTTAAACACATTTTCACAGTTACCTCACTTTCAGTTTGTCTGTCAGAGTGGAATAGGGAGAATGGAGATAACATTTGAATGATTTAGCTTATGATAGTAAAATTTGAGAATTTTAATGGAATGCAGGATTTATATTTTATATACTAAAAATAGACATATTTTTCAATAAAAATTGGTATCATAAGTGGACTCTTATCAAAACATTTTTATCTGCTTAAGTATTTCTGAGGTGTTTTCAAAACAACTATGCACATAGTATAAGAGCAACTTTGTGTTAAAATAAGAATGAGATCACAAAGACCATAACAAAGCCTGAAATGCTTCAGCTGTGCCATATGCATTTGAAAACATCTCCTGTTTAAGGAAAATACTTTCTTTTTTGTAACACTAGCCAAAATGTTGCTTAAGTCATATAAAGTCCAAAGATATCTCTACACAAAACCCAGATGTAAAAATTCTAAATATCATCTTTCTTTAAAATATAACCTACAGAAACTCTTTAGGTTAATTAGATCTCATTTGTCAATTTTGGCTTTTGTCGTCATTGGTTTTGGTGTTTTAGTCCTGAAGTGCTTGCCCATGCCTATGTCCTGAATGGTACTGCCTAGGTTTTCTTCTAGGGTTTCTATGCTTTTAGGTCTTACATTTAAGTCTTTAATCCATCTTGAGTTAATTTTTGTATAAGGTGTAAGGAAGGGGTCCAGTTTCAGTCTTCTGCATATGGCTAGCCAGTTTTCCCAGCACCATTTATTAAATAGGGAATCCTTTCCCCATTGCTTGTTTTTGTCAGGTTTGTCAAAGATTAGATGACTGTAGATGTGTGTTGTTATTTCTGAGGCTTCTGTTCTGTTCCATTGGTCTATACATGTGTTTTGGTACCAGTACTGTGCTGTTTTGGATACTGTAGCCTTGTAGTATTGTTTGAAGTGAGGTAGCATGGTGCCTCCAACTTAGACAACCTACAGAATGGGAGAAAATTTTTGCAATCTATCCATCTGACAAAGGGCTAATATCCAGAATCTATGAGGAACTTAAACAAATTTACAAGAAAAAAAAAAACCATCAAAAAGGGGGCGAAGAATGTGAGCAGACACTTCTCAAAAGATGACATTTATGTGGCCAACAAACATATGAAAAAAAAGCTCATCATCACTGGTCATTAGAGAAATACAAATCAAAACCACAATAAGATACCATCTCACACCAGTTAGAATGGTGATCATTAAAAAGTTAGGAAATAAGATGCTGGAGAGGATGTGGAGAAATAGGAACACTTTTATACTGTTGGTGGGAGTATAAATTAGTTCAACCATGTGGAAGATAGTGTGCTGATTCCTCAAAGGTCCAGAACCAGAGATAGCATTTGAGCCTGGGTATATACCCAAAAAATTACCAATCATTCTACTATAAAGACACATGCAGATGTATGTTTATTGCAGCAGTATTCACAATGGCAAAGACTTGAAACCAGCTCAAATGCACATCAATGATAGACTGGATAAAGAAAATGTGGCACCTATACACCATTGGAATACCACGCAGCCATAAAAAAAAAAGGATGACTTCATGTCCTTTGCAGGGACATGGATGAAGCTGGAAACTAACACAAGAACGGAAAACCAAATACCACATGTTCTCACTCGTAAGTGGGAGGTGAACAATGAGAACACATGCACACAGGGAAGGGAACATCACACACTGTGGCCTGTCAGGGGGTGTGGGATTCGGGAGGGATAGCATTAGGAGAAACACCTAATGTGGATGGCTGAGTAATGGATACAGCAAACCACCATGGCACGTGTATACCTATGTAACAAACCTGCATGTTCTGCGCATGCACATGTATCCCAAAACGTTAAGTATAATAAAAAATTAAAGAAAAAAATAACCTATAAAAGCTCCACCAAAATTAAAATCTAAACCCAATAAAGAAACATATTATCTTTTCCCCTGATTCAAATTAAAATTTGAATAATCATCATAGCAGATATTATTATAGGTATGTTTGGAATATGTAGTTATTCCCATATCTAACTGATTAATATTTTTTATGAATACTTATGCTTCACATGTGAAGGCTAAATGAAATTTTTCCTAACTTTTGGGAATATAAATATTTATGTGTTAATGGGACATATCTCCTAGATATGTAATAAAAGACCAAAAAGAGTTAAATATATTCATGAATTATAAATGTGGTTTCCCTTATTGTCACTATTGCTTTATTTTGATGATTACTGAAAAATATCTGAAGAAATCTTATATTAATGTAGAGACCAGTATTAATGACTAATATGGTTAAATGTCTTTTTATATAAGGAGAAATGCAGTCATCTCAACCATTTACTAAAATGTGAAAAAATAAGATAAATGTATAATTTGTATATTTCATGGATTTGAGAATTTTGCATAGAGGGCTATACTATGTAAGAAACAAAAATAAGACTTTTTTTAAAAAAATTAAAGCAATCTGAAACATGTTTTTTTTTTTTCTTAGCAGTGCTGAAAGGTGAATAATGTAATTAAAGTTTACTTTCACTGCTTTTTAATTTCTTTGTCCCAGCACGTGACAAAGAATAACTTGTAAAAAAGATTTAACTTACTTAAAAAAGCAAGTGAAAGAGAATAATGGAGGAGGAACCAAAATATGGATTACACACATATAAGCTTAAGTCTTTAACTCTTGAATCATCAAAGGTTACCTGTGATGTGTAGGTTAAAGCAAGCTGATATAGCCAGTTCATTATATTGGGCCCAGGAACATAAGGAACTCTGGTCAGTGGAAAACCTCAGTGGGATTGACAGTGATCTACTACATGTTGGGAGAGCAGGAATGCACACCTTCATCACAATATGAAGGCTTTTGACTTTTGCTGGTATTTTTAACCTAAATAATTTGGAAGCTGCTGATTATTCTAGCAAGGAAACAGAGCAGTACAATAGTTATGATTTATTTCATATTTGTATTCACTTCTTTCCTACTTCTGAGATTCACTTA